CTGGGTGTGGTGGCTGGCACCTGTAATTCCAGCTACTCGGGAGGCTGAGACTTGAGAATCACTTGAACCCGGGAGGCGGAGGTTGCAGTCAGCCAAATTCGTGCCACTGCACTCCAGCCTGGGTGATAGAGCAAGACTCTGTCTCAAAAAAAAAAAGAAAATTCTGCATTTGTATAATTGCCTTGTTCTTTTCCAGAGTCAGATTGAGGCAGAACTGAATAAACATTGGCGGCGATTGTTAGAGGGGCTTTCTTACTACAAACCTCCCAGGTATGGCAATTCCAGGCGTCTGGTTAAAGTAATTCCCTTAAGGAAGCTGGCATGGATGAAACCATCCTCCTGTATGCTTTGATGATTTTGTAGGGTTGTGTATACCAGAGATAATACAATTTCGTTTACCAGTGGAAAAGAGTAGGTTATATTTGTTTTTTTTGTTGGCTGAAAGAAAAGGAAATTCCTTCTAGAAATACAGTATTGTAGAATATAATTATGACCTATGTGTGGGGATGAGGATTTATTAAACATTCAACAAATTTTCTGATATTTATTCAGAGTCCACAGTGTCTGTGCGAGCACTAATTGGTGGGAGATAGCACGATGATGCTAACAACTGACACTTGTGTAGTGTTAACTATGTAACAATTATTACTGTAAACACCTGACTTATCAAAAGTTATTTAATCCCCACAACACCCCTTTGAGATAGTTACTACTTTTATTTTTTGGGTGAATATATAGATCTTTGTATTGGGTAGTGGAAAACACAGTAATAAAATATAGAGTAGTTACAAATAAAGAGAATATGGCTTGTAGGGCTGGGCCTATTTGATCTTGATTCCTAGTCCAGATCTCATTCTGTTATGCATTATAGTTGAAGTCAAGCTCATTTCCCTTCGACTTTTGTACTTATTTTGAATGTATTACATCTTTACCTTCCATTTTCATTCCCTTAGGTTAACGATGAACTTTTCCTTGTTATTCATCTGTTAACTCTTCCCTCATAATTACCTTGAAGTAAATCCCAGATACCTTGTTATTTTATCTGCAAATACTTGACTATATATCTAAAATACATGGACTTTTAAAAAAGATAATCACTATATTATCACATTTAGGTACTCTTATCATTGTTTCCATTTTACCAATGGGGAAACTGAGGCACAAAGCGGTTAAGTAACTTGCCATGGTACAACTAGTAAGTGGTAGAACCAGGATTCGAACCTGGTGGTCTCATTCCAGTGTCTGTTTTTTTTTTTTTTTTTTTGAGAAGGAGTTTTGCCCTTATCGCTCAGGCTGGAGTGCAGTGTCACAATCTCAGCTCACTGCAACCTCCACCACCCAGGTTCAAGTGATTCTCTTGCCTCAGCCTCCTGAATAGCTGGGATTACAGGTGCCCACCACCACACGCAGCTAATTTTTTTCTATTTTTAGTAGAGATGGGGTGTCACTATGTTGGCCAGGCTGGTCTTGAACTCCTGACCTCAAGTGATCCTTCCACCTCAGCCTCCCAAAGTGCTGGGATTATAGGTGTGAGCCACCGCTCTCGGCCCCAGTGTCTGTTATTTTGTTGTTGTTGTTTTTGTTTTTGAGATGCAGTCTCCCTCTGTTATCCAGGCTGGAGTGCAGTGGCACGATCTCGGCTCACTGAAACCTCCACGTCATGGGTTTAAACAATTCTCCTGCCTCAGCCTCCTGAGTAGCTGGGATTACAGGCACCCGCCACCATGCCTGCTAATTTTCGTATTTTTAGTACAGACGGGGTTTCACCATGTTGGCCAGGCTGGCCTCGAACTCCTGATCTCAAGTGATCTGCCCGCCTCATCCTCCCAAAGTGCTGAGATTACAGGCGTGGGCTGCCATACCTAGCCTACTGTTTTCTTTACTATCTTTTTTCTGTTCCAGAATCCAACCTAGTTGTCAGATGCCTGTAGTCTCCTCTTAGCTGGACAGTGTCTTAGTCTTACCTTGATTTTCATGACCTTGAACAGGTTTGAGGACTGGTCAGTTATTTTGTAGGATGCCCCCAATTTGGGTTTGTCTGATGTTTTTCTTATTACTAGACTATTAGGGGTTGTGAGTTTTTGGGAAGAATACCCAGAGGTGAGGTGCGCTTCTTTTTTTTTGAGATGCAGTTTCGCTCTTGTTGCCCATGCTGGTGTGCAGTGGTGCGATTTCAGCTCATTGTAACCTCTGCCTCTTGGGTTCAAGAAGTTCTGTTTCAGCCTCCCTAGTAGCTGAGACTACAGGTGCACGTCACCTTGCCTGGATAATTTTTGTGTTTTTAGTAGAAACATGGTTTCACCATATTGGTCAGTCTGGTCTTGAACTTCTGACCTCAGGTGATCCGCCTGCCTCAGCCTCCCAAAGTACTGGGATTATAGGCGTGAGCCACCGCGCCTGGCTGAGCTACCCTTCTTACCACATCATAGCAGAGAGTACATGCTGTCCACATGAAATCACTGGTGATACTAATCTTGGCCACTCAGTTAAGGAGGCGTTAGACAAGTTTCTCCTCTGTAAAGTTACTTTTTTCTCTTTTCCTACTTTATTTTTTGAAAGTGAGTACTAAATATAGCCATGTCCAGGTAATTTTTTTCATTTTTGGTGGAGGTGGAGGTCTCACTTTATTGTCTAGGCTGGTCTCAAACTCCTGGCCTCAAGCTACCCTCCTGCCTCGACCTCCCAAAGTGCTGGGATTACAGGCATGAGCCATTGTGCTGGCCTCTCCCTACCCTATTTATTTATTCATTAGTTTATATCAGTATGGACTCAAATATATTTATTTTATTTATTTTATACTTTGTTTATACCTTGTTTCAGCTTTGGCCATTGGGCATTCTTTTAGGTTGGCCTCTCTCCTTTGGGCGTGTCCTTCGTTTTTTCTTTTTTTCTTTTCCTTTTTTTATTCTATTAAGTTATCTCCTACCAAAAGGACTTTGGTTTTTTAAACCCTTCTGTACTTTCTTTCACTATAAGATGCTTCAAGATTTTCTTGTATTTTCCTTGCCCTGGCTCTAGAATCAACCAATTCCCCAAGGAATGCTGTTATTAGATAATGGTATTGTAAAGCAGGATCAGGGTGCTGCATGTGCCTGCTGCTATTGGAGTGTTATAACTTCTAGGCTTTCTCAGTGGACAGAGCTATTACAGATAATATGTATGTATGCCACAGACCTGGTTTTAAATTTTAGCAACTGTTTATTAGCTGTGGGATTTTTGGTAAGTTATTTACCCTTTCTAACTGTTGGCAATTCCATTTGTAAAAGGAGAATAGTGATATTTGCCTTTCAGGGTAGTAGTAAGGATCAAAAATAATGTAACTTAATGTGTTTACAAATAACATTGTTATAACTGTAATGTAACCACTTTCGTTCGTTTGTTTGTTTGTTGTTACTTAAGCATAACCAGTTCTGTGTTATAAAGTCTGTGGAGGTGAATGTGTGTGTGTGTGTGTGTGTGTGTGTATTTTATAGGCATCTGAAGGGCAGAGAAAAGTCTGTAGTGAAAATATTTTAAAATATTTTTATTTTAAACTCAGTGGGCTATTGAGAATGAAGAAATGATTCACTGTTCTTTTCATAGCCCAAGTTCAGCTGAAAAAGTGAAAGCTAATAAAGATGTAGCGTCACCATTGAAGGAACTGGGTTTAAGAATCAGCAAGTTTTTGGTGAGTAAAAATTAGCACTCGCTCAGTTTATTACTTGCAGTGTGGATGTATATGGTTGTGTTGCTAGTGATAGTGAAAATTCAGTTTATTTTTGTTTTGGGAATTAAATTGAACATGTTGTGTTTTATAAATACCCAGGTTGTAACTCTTCTCCCTAAAAGTTACAAGTCAAAGTTGCCTGATCCATTTACTGCATATCATAGGTTTTTCTTCACCAGACATGTGGTGGTCTTTAAGGTGACTAAGTTTGTCATTTCAGAAACTCACATCGTGCCTACTGCTGTATTAGAGTGCTTGGTGAATAAGCATCGTTGTTTCTGGCATGTACATTTAATTGTAATAAAAATTGTATGTCAGTGACTGGCTCTTGTCTTCCATTAGAGTCAGAATTGTTATGTTGAATGAATCTTTGAGTAGCATTTTTGTTTATTCAAGTCCTGTGTTCATTGTAGAAGACAAATCTTTAAATGCTCTGCATCCTGTGTGCGACTTCTGAGCTGTAGTGGCTGTTCCTCACTTAAAATCTCTTGTGTTTCAGGGTCTTGATGAAGAACAGAGTGTGCAGTTACTCCAGTGTTACCTGCAAGAGGACTACAGGGGTACTCGGGACTCAGTAAAGGTTTGTGGTTTATGTCAGCTCCTTTCTGCTGCCTTTATCTGTTTTCCGTTAGTTTTAGATAATGAAGGGTTTTGGCACCAATTCTTTTATCAGTGGTAGGTGGTCAGGTACAGTCATCTTCAGGAAAGACCTACTAAAGGCTTTAAAAAAACATGACCTGGGTGCAATGGCTTGTGCCTGTACTCCCAGCTTCTTGGGAGGCTGAGGCAGGAGGATCACTTGAGCCCAGGAGTTTGAGGCTCAGTCAACTGTGATCGCACTGCTGCACTCTAGCCGGGGCAAAAGAGTGAGACCCCATCTCTTTAAAAAAATAAAGAATATGTATGCACATAAGCTGAGATCTGTCTTCATACTTGGAGGAGTGGAGAGGTCAAAGACTGACATGTTAATCATGGAATCTTGGGCTATTAGAGGTGATAAGGATTTGGTAGAATTTCTAGCCTGCCCAGTCCCTCATTTTGCGTAAGAGGACTGAGGCCAGAGGAGAAGGGAAGGGATTTGAGCACAGGTTTGGGTACATTTGAGTAGAAAATAAGGTGGAAAGTATATGTAGAAATAAATGTGCAATTATAATCTTGAAGGATGAAGTGAAGGTATGTATCTTATTACTTGAGTTTTGCCTAAAAGATGGCCTCTTAACTGCTCTGTTTTTCTTTTCAGACAGTACTGCAAGATGAGAGGCAGAGCCAGGCCTTAATCCTGAAGGTCAGTAGTAGTCACCATTTCTATTCTTTGATGTAAAATTGAGTGACAGCTTCTTGACCTCATTTTCCTGAGCATTGCTGGCTTTTGACTCTTCTGTTGGATAAGCATGGAGGTTTTTATGAAGAAGCATATTAACTCATTTGTGAAACGATGCTTTTGTTTGTTTGTTTGTTTGTTTGTTTGTTTGTTGTGTTTTTTGAGATGGAGTCTTGCTCTGTCGCCCAGGCTGGAGTGCAGTGGCGCGATCTCGGCTCACTGCAAGCTCTGCCTCCCGGGTTCACCTTCCCTGCCTCAGCCTCCCGAGGCTCCTGCCTCAGCCTCCCGAGTAGCTGGGACCACAGACGCCTGCCACCGCGCCCGGCTGATTTTTTGTAGTTTTTTAGTAGAGACGGGGTTTCACCATGGTCTTGATCTCCTGACCTCGTGATCAGTCCGCCTCGGCCTCCCAAAGGGCTGTGATTACAGGGGTGAGGCACTGTGCCCGGCCGAAACGATGCTTTTATCCACTGGATCCAGTAGAAAGGTTTCTCCCAAGGAGATTCTTCAGCTACTGGTGGTGAGAACAAGTTCATGGATATTTTTCCTCTAGGTCTAAGTCCAACAGGATTAATTTGTATTTCTTTATTCTTCAGTCCCTTTCCAGCAACCTTCTCACTTAGGATCTCGTGTTAAAGTGGAATTTGTGACTTCTGAAGAAGTTTCCTATTTTATATTTAGTGAGAACTAAGTACATTAGTTACAAGCAATTAGGACCTATATCAGTGGAATTTTTATATTTGTTTTTATGTGTTTGGCCTGCCAGTTGATAGCATTGTGTGCTACATGAATGCTCTGAGAAATCATGCTAGAAAACATTTTTGGAAACTTGTGTATATTATTAAACAATAATTCCTTTTATCCTGTATATCCTGGTTTATGAAAGTCTTTTGCTTTATTTTGGCCTAATTCAGTATGTTTGCATTTCTGTGATTCCTTATATAAATTTAACTTTTCCATCCACATCTTTAAGTGAAATTATCAATAAATTTAAACTTGAGTTTCCTGTGTGCAAAGGTGAGTAACTGATTTTGAATCTTTGGATTCCTCAGATTGCAGATTATTATTATGAAGAAAGAACCTGTATTCTTCGTTGTGTCTTACACCTTCTCACTTACTTCCAAGATGAAAGACACCCCTATAGGGTAAGCTTGTTTAGTCCTCTTGGTTCTCTTTACACTGTATCATCTTAATAATTTTGTTAATATTATTTGAATATTTACCTTTTATTCTAGGTATAATTTACTCTCTTGATTATTTTTAAAGGTTGAATATGCAGACTGTGTTGATAAATTGGAGAAGGAACTAGTTTCAAAATACAGACAGCAGTTTGAAGAGCTTTATAAAACTGAAGCACCAACTTGGGAGACACATGGAAATCTCATGGTATGTGGTTACTGTGCTCTCCTGTAACTCTTGTTTTTTAAGATGGAGTCTCACATTGTCACCCAGGCTGGAGTGTAGTGGTGCGATCTTGGCTCACTGCAACCTCCATCTCCTGAGTTTAAGCAGTTCTCCTACCTCAGCCACCCAAGTAGCTGGGATTACAGGCACCTGTCGCCATACCCAGCTAATTTTTGCATTTTTAGTAGAGATGGGGTTTCACCACCTTGGCTAGGCTGGTGTCGAACTCCTGACCTCAGGTGATCTGCCCACCTTAGCCTCCCAAAGTGCTGGGATTACAAGCGTGAGCCACCACACCTGGCCTGGAACTCTTAGGAGGATTGCACACCCTTGCTTATAGAACTGCAAGTTAAATTATTTATTCATTCATTTAAAACATACAGATTATCTTTTTTTTTTTTTTTTGGTGAGATGGAGTCTCCCTCTGTTGCTCAAGCTGGAGTGCAATGGCACAGTCTCAGCTCACTGCAACCTCTGTTTCCTGGGTTCTAGCGATTTTACTGCCCCAGCCTCCCAAGTAGCTGGGATTATAGGCACCTGCCACCATGCCCAGCTAATTTTTTGTATTTTTAGTAGAGATAAGAGATATGGTTTCACTATGTGGGCCAGGCTGGTCTTGAACTCCCGACCTCAGGTGATGTGCCTGCCTTGGCCTCCAAAAGTGTTGGGATTACAGGCGTGAGCCACTGTGCCTGACCTAGATTAT